AAAAATTCATGTGAATTAAAATTATCTTATTAAACTGATCTTTAAACTTAGTGCTAGGGGCCGGCCCGGTGGTGCACTGGATAAGTGCGCCGCTTGGGAAGCGCGGCGGCGCTCCCGCCGGAGGGTTCGGATCCCACATACAGACCGGTTCCCGCTCACTGGCTGAGCGAGGCGCGGGAGCAACACCAAGGGTTGCGATCCCGTTGCCGGTCCCCGGTCCGGTACGGGGGCAACACTGAGGGTTGCGATCCATTGCCGGACACGGAAAAAGACAAAAGAAAAAAAAAGAAAATGGATAAAAGTTAATACATTAGGTTTACAGAGGTAAATACTTGATTATTCTATGCAAAGTTAAATTTTCCATAAATTATCTTCCCCATTGATAATTCTCATCAGGACTATAACTGTAAAAGCATTCACATCTCTTAAAGCCATTGCTGTAGCTGTTTTTGTTGGTAATAAAGGCACAGCAGAGATTTATATCCAGTGTACTGATTACGGACTTTCCAGGCTGCTGTCAGACTACGAACAGTTCATACAAGTATTAAATGAAGAGCATATAACTATTTCAAACTGGAATAGAAACTCACGTTTTGTGAAGACCAAAAAAACAAACAAACAAACAAAACCACCCAACAACAATAAAAAGGCATCATCTCATAAAAATCATTCAAAAACTTTTTGCTTAATATTAATAAAGGTATACAATAATGATTTGAAAAAACAAATGTTTTTGGTCTGTATTCCTTCATAAAGCTTTTTAAGTAATTTTTAGGGGGCTGACCAGTTAGCTCAATTGGTCAGAGCACAACCTTATAACCCCAAGATCAGGGTTCGGTTCCCCATACTGGCTGACCACTAAAAAATAAAATAAGTTTTTGTCATTACAGTCTTTTGGGTACATAACATTTTCCTTGCTACTTCCATTGCACTATTTTTTTTTTTTTTTTTTTTTGGCGGCTGGCTGGTACCAGGACTGACAAGGACCTTGGTGTTATTAGTACCACGCTCTAACCAACTGAGCTAACCAGCCAGCCCTTTTCACTACACAATAATATGAAATGTATTATAAAATATTTTACTAAATACTTGGTTGCATTATTTCCTACAAAACTTGTATACCATGACTTATTTTTATATTTAACTATTAATTAGAATGCTTTCAACTGCTCATTTCTATGCTACAAAACTTTCTTAACTCATGCAACTTTTTTCATATTGCAGTGTTTTGTTTTGTTTTGTTTTTTAATTGACTGGATTGTGACACAGTATATTTTCTTAGGATAGATTACAAAAATTGGGATTACTAAATCTGAAGGTCTGAACAATTTTTACTGTTAATTTTACGGCTATTAGTTGCTTGTCAAAAAGCTAGTGCTAACATACTTAAATATAGACTACTAGTTATACCTTACCAACACTGGTTTTCATTATTACATACTTTTTGTTTTTTGGGGAAGGGGGAGACACTAAGAGTGGATGAAAATGCCTCATTGTTTTAAGTTTGCATTTCTCTAGTCATTTAGAAATTTGACCTTTCATTGTTTGCAGCTTGTACTGTCTTTATCCATATACATCATTATACTACCGCCACTACTCCACAAAGCTTTAATGATTTTCTTGAGCTACAATATTTTTCTCTAGTCTGAAGTTTGATCATTTAAACAGCTGAATTTCTAATATTCTCCTAGTCAGATTTGTCCATGTTTTGATGTGACGTCTATTAACTTAAAGTCTTAGAAAGTCATCTCTGTTTGAGGTTTGTATATTTAGTTTTCTTAGCTAAGTAAATATACTATCTGTCCACTTCTAAAAATATTCCTTTAAATCCTGTAAGGTTCTCTTTTTTTTTGTCCTTTTTGAGACCGGCCGCACTGCGCTCAGCCAGTGAGCGCTGTGAGCGCACCAGTCATCCCTATATAGGATCTGAACCCGCGGCGGGAGCGCTGCTGCACTCCCAGCGCCGCACTCTCCCGAGTGCGCCACAGGCTCGGCCCTAAGGTTCTCTTTAAATAAAAAGTTCTCATTCAGATTATTACAAGGTTTTTTTTCCAATACTATCATGAATAGCATTTTGCTAATTATTACTGCTATTCAGTGTCAAATGTTGCTTTAAAAAATGATGGTTTAAATAAATGTCATGGTTATGTTTACATAACAGCTGTGTTTAAGCATATTATATGGAAGAAAATATAAAAATAATCTATAAAAATGTTCTAAAAGAAGCTCCCGAAAACTTAAGAAACAGTGATTTTTGAGATTTCCACCTTTCCACTTCCATTCCTTTAGCTTAGTTAAAAAAAAATTTTTAAAGAAATGTTTTAAATTATAGATCACTGTAAATATTGTAATTGAAGCTCTTAAATGTTGTTATAACAGACCTGTGAGTACGCTAGGGACTAGTCAACACCTTCTCCCAGAACACCTCATTAGGGAGGTGGAGAAATTTCCATTCCCAGTTTCCTATGGATAAATCTGTATTTAGTGCTCTCAAATAAATACATAAAATACTAGAAGTATTCCACTACATGGAAAAACTATAAAGTTGTAAAATGGGTAAACTTTTCAAAAAGTTTGATCTATGTTTTCTTTCCCTAAGGTCAATTTTAAAAGTTATATCTTATTCCATATTTACTGCAACATGCTTTTCTTACATTAGGCTATTTGAACTAACAGATTATCTTTTGGTACAAAATATTAATGTAACCACAAAAGTTAATTTTTAATTTAAAATTAAAATTAAAATTAATAATTAATAATTTTAGTTTCTCTACCAAAGAAAAACAATAAAAGGACAGCAATCCTATCTTAAGTCTACTAGACAATAGTATCTATGCATGGATTTTCACTCTCTTCAAATTGCCTTCACTCACAGTTCCATTAGTCCCTTAAAATTGAGTAAGATAACTGGGGTAATTATCACCCCAAATTTCATATATAAAAAAACTTGGGTTCACAAATGTAATTTGTCCAACTGCAAAGATAAAATAGAATATGAATATGCCCAAAGTTTTTTTTCCGTTCATACTATAGGAAATCATAATTAGGACAGCAAAACTATTTACACAGGGTTATATTACAATTAAACAGTTACTTTTAATCATTTATATTTTAATAAAATACATCTTATCTGTGCTACAAATACTTCTTCAAAGGGGGGCTATGGTTGTTTCTTTAAGTTGACTAAATTTCGATTTGTTGTAACTTAAATTAAATTTTACCTCTAGCTGTTCATCCTCCAAAAGACTTATAACCAGCCACCTGATATCTTTAACTGCATCTTCATTGTTTAGGAAAATAAAGAGGTTATAAAATACCATGGTCTGGAGGTAGGTCAGTACTGTGTATCTTGCATGCCAAGAACTGCTCCTTGCTGTCTGTGAATGAGAAGTACAAATGATGAATACAATACTGATAAGAACATGAGATGATAGAGAGCAACACTACACACAGATAATGTAATATTCTAATTGAATTCTACTTTCACAGGTATAGTCAGAGCAAGTTCATTTTATATTTCTTTCTAAATAAAAGAGTGAACAAGCTGTTTCAGGTAAAGTTATTTAGAATGTATAATGACTGAGAGTAAAGGGAAAGGAACACATAGGTAAAAGCCAATTATAGAAGAGAGAACTATTCATGATTAATGACTCTTCTCCACAGATTAGACATTATTTTATTTTACTTTTGGTAGTGGCAGGTAGGGTCTTGAAAGCAAATAAGAGTACTAACTACTCAATTCCACTACAAAAAAATACCATTTTAGGCTGTTATATTTTGCAGTAGTAATCAAATTTAAAATCTGAAAATTATGGAAATATGTCCTATTGTTTACCATGTGTATGACCTGAATAAAGCTAATAAGCATACTATACTAACGATGCAGCCAGAAAATACACAATCATTATAGCTCTCTCTAGCATAAACTAGGAAAGAGAAGTGAATAAAATAAGGGGAAATAGTAAAAGGGAGTCATCATCCCCCTCCCTTATAAACACTTTGTATCCAAGGCAATTCAATAATTAGCTCTTTGCATATATAGATAATTTTACGCTTGCGTGACTTGCCCAAGGTCACAGAAGTTGGTGGCAGAGCCAGGTACAGAATCTAGGTCTGTTTCTTTGGTCAATACACATGTCTTCTCTTATACTAAAAGAAAATTCAAAATGAAAACAAAAATCAGGTACTGTGGGCACTGCAGCTGACTTTGTGAAATTCTTAGAAAGGTAAACCAAAATCCTAACCAAAAGATGTAAATATTGTTGATATGCGTTCTTACTTGTTTTAGCACCTTAAGTACCAAAGGCACTTGATGAGGGTAAAGGAGCCCCTGAGACATCAGTGATAAACACAACTTTGCATCTCTTTTCAGTTCATCATAGCTGTTGTCATTTTCTACTGGAGCAATCTAGAGAATTTTTTAAAAAAAAAGAAATTGAAAAATAACTGGCAACAGGTACAAAGACATCCTACATGAAAGAAATCACATTTTTACTTTTAACAATTTCTGTGGAAAATTTCAAGCATATACAAAACTAGAGAATAGTATAATGAACCCCACTTAGCCAATCACCTCTTCAACAATGACAAACTCATGGATAATCTTTTATTTCATGCTTTACTCCCCTCTGGCTCCCCTTCTCTCAACTAAATTATTTGAAGCACATTCCAGGCATATCTCACCCATAAACATTTTTTAATGTTACCTGTAAAAGGTTTCTTAAAAAAAAAAAAAATAATGACATCATCACACCCAAAACCTCATTATGGTTACAATATAAAATTTCAGTACTGCTCAACTTTCCCCAATTACCACACTATGTGTTAATACAATTTGTTTTTTGGAATCAGGTTCAACATAATGACCACAGATTGCATTTAGCTAGTATGTTTCTCAAATTTCTTTTTGATCTATAGATTCCCTCCACCCTTTTTTGGCAGCTGGCTGGTACAGGAATCTGAACCCTTGACCTTGGTGTTATAACACCACACTCAAACCAACTGAGCTTAACTGGCCAGCTCAAAATGTAGTATACTTTTTACACTTTGCTTTTTTCTTTTACTTGTTTATTTTATTTTCTGGCAGCTGCTGGGTATGGGGATCCAGACCCCTGACCTTGGTGTTATAACACTGTGCTTAATCAACCCCCCTCTCTTTTAAAACTCCTGGCTATATGTTTTTTAATGAGGGGGGGAAACCCTGGGGTTCACTGTTTTGTACTTTCCACTGTGATCCTCCCTGATTGCACACCTGTGGTTGTGCTTAATCAACCCCCCTCTCTTTTAAAACTCCTGGCTATATGTTTTTTAATGAGGGGGGAAAACCCTGGGGTTCACTGTTTTGTACTTTCCACTGTGATCCTCCCTGATTGCACACCTGTGGTGGTACTCCTTGGCCCCAGTAAGTCCTATAAATTGGCCATTAAATCTAAAGATTTGATTTTATTAAAGTTTGGTTGTTTGGGCATAACGTAAGTAGTATTATGTATTTCCTTCACTGATATTTAGTTTTCTCTTGCCATAATGATCATTACAAAAACAAGAGTTTTACAAAACTGTGATAGTCATTCATTTTCCATTATCTAGAATACTTATATACAGAAAAGCTTTCCCTCATTCAGAATAATGATTTCCCTCCTGTCCTCCAAAAGTGAACACTAATTTTTTTAAAAGTATCATTATGAACTAATAAATTTCAACAAATTTGGTGGCTTTATCCACTGTAGTTACTCTTCATTCTGGTGCTCATACTTATTCTTTGACTAGTAGAAGTCTCCCCAGATTGGCTCCTGAGTCCTTTTAATATAACCACAGTGTCCTTGGTTTTTGGTATGACAAGATGACTTAGGTTTATCCTATACATTTCTTGCTCCAGACCTGAAATCAGCCATTTCTCCAAGGGGCGCTGGTTCTTTTTGCAGGAAATGATGTTAAGAAACCATAATCTGGGAACTAGGAATATTCATTGTTACTGAGTTGGTTAGTGTTTCTATGCTTTTTCACTGGACACAGCCAGGAAACAAGCATTTTTGAAGAGAAATAGATCATACTGATACTTTCAGTTCAAATTTAAGATTACTGGGATTTTTATCTAACTGCTTGGATTTTTATATCTTTTAACTTCTCAGTCGAAAACTCTTGATTTCTATTGACAATTATTTATTTGCTCTTTATATATCCCACAAAGCATGTATGACGTTCTGTGTTTTTGAAAGTCACTATACTACAATTTATACTATCAACCAGATAAACAGCGAGGTTCATTTATTTCACTTTGCGTTTGCTTTTGCTTTTTTTTCTTCAGGGATCTTTAAGATTTATATATAAATATATACATATCTCCTAGAGATTACTCCACAGCAATAGGAAAGACTCAAACTATAGGGTATCTAAACTACAGGGAAGTACTATAGTTTATTTAACCATACTCCCCTCCAGGTATTTTAATTATTTCCAGTCTTCTGCTTTTAAAATAGTGTTACAATAAATATCTTTGTAGACAATCATTTCATATAATGCCAGTATGTCTTTAGGATAGAATTGCATAGAAGTGCAGAAGTACATTGCTACCAGAAAGTAAATGTGATTTTGCTAGACACCCCCAAGTCCTTCTTTATTGCTTACTTCCTCAGAGACTCACCATTAGAGTATAGTGTCAGACATCTGGATTTTTGCCAGTAGAACAGGTAAAAAAAATTGCATCTCATACAGTTTTAATTTGAAAAAAAAAAAAAAGATTTTTCTCTAAAATACCAAGAATTTTATCAACTTAGGTGAAATACTCAAAACTCAGTATTACCAAATTTCCTTGCATAGCCATAACAAATGGGAACCTGACCATGCCTTTATTGTGACAAAGACTCTCTCCTTGACCAAACTTTAGACAGACCCCTTCGAGCCCCCTTTCCTGCCAGGCCTCATCCCTGGGCTCTTCTTTGGCCTGCAGAATCCAGTTTTAGCACGCCTCCTGCTAATGCAATTTAGAAAGAATCCCCCACCCCTTGATATCTGATCAACTTCCTCATCTCCCACCCTTGATATCTGATCACCCTGGCCTGCCTTCAAGAAGAATTCTTACAAGTTCAGTGCAAAGTCACAAAGAAACCACCTGGATTTTAATCTAGGACTCCATTTACCCCAAAGCCAAGTCTTAATATCCCCCCCTCCACCGTTTTATAAAATGATTTATTTTCTTAACGTCTGCTATTGAGTACTTCTGGTTATCAAAAGTATTCTGTTGACAGGTATTTGCCTGTTTTATTGTTTCACATTCTAGTTCTACTCTACCAATTTCTTTATTGAGACCGTTTGATTTCTGGTCCAGAATGTCTGCATGAGACTCCATACTGCTCATGAATGCCTGATATTTTTGAACATCTGCTTGTAAGGAAGTTTCCAGTTTTCTCAATGACTCTAGAAGGTTCAATTCTTTTTTTCTTTCTTGTTCCTACCTTTCAATCTGTTCATTCAGTGCTTTGTTTTTTGCTGCTAATGATTCCACCTTGGAAACATCTACATTGAATAAATCCTTCAGCTTAAACTGCAATCCTGCATTCGTCTCTTCAAAGCTGTTCGCACCAGTCATGAAACACTCGTGGCATTTTACGGTGTAGTCCAAAACCAACTTAATTTGCATAATTCCATCTTCAGTTTCTTCTCCCCAATACTATCATCAAATAAAGGTGGGCTTTCTTTCATGGCAATATGTGTCCAAGGTCTTTAAAGATCCTTGGAACCTCTTCCTCACAGGCTTACCAGTTTATTACAAAGGATATTAAAAGGACACAGAAGATGAGAAGCATGGGGCAAGGTATGGGAGAAGGTATTAAGCTATCTGGAGGCTCCCCCTTAACCTTTAGCAATATGGAGACTCTTAGATCAAAACAGCCAAATTACTCAAACTTTCACTTTGATATATTTTTTTTTTCCCCAAGGTTTTTTGGTTTGTTCTTTGTTTTTTGATGGATATAAAACTGCTTTTTATGGGATAGTATAAATAACATTTTTAATAGAACTGCCAAACATTTCTTACAACAATGTGTTAACTAAAATTGAACCAGTGTTTTCACTTCTGGTTATTTATCTTACAAAAATTCATGCAAGTGCAAAATATATGTACATAATTATTGTTGCATCATTAATGAACAAGAACACTTCTCCAGTGTTTATCATGTGCCTGACACTGCCCTAAACACTTTGCATATACAGGCACCCCTTTACCCCTTATGCTCTCAATTGAGGATCCAACAGATTACTCCAATATCCCATTTAATCTGAACTGTTGCTATATGTTAATGGCTAATGCAGGACATGGAAAATTTAGATAATGTGGTTCCTTGTTATCGAATTTAGCCACCCACCCCTCAATTTGAATAGTGAGGGATACATAATATTATTAACTCATTTAATCCTCATAACATCCTTAGGAGGTGGGGGTTATTATTTACCCCCACTATGCAGATAAGGGAAAAAAAGTTCTGAGGGGTTGAATTATTTGCCCATGGTTACACAGTCTATCCGTCATAGAGCTGAATTTGAATCTAGACAGCCTGGTTCTACAGTTCATGCTGTTAACCACTACATTTCCTGTCTCTCACTGTCTACCTAGTGAACAACTGTAACAAAATCAAAATCTATGACTAGAGAATAAATCAGATATCAAATTCTAATAGTCACATAAGGAATAATACAGATATCTATTTACTCACCTGGAAAGGTATATGATATATTAGGTACAAAAAAGAGGTAGCTGCAGAACAACTGGCATGATCCTATTAAAAAATAACTGTCTAGGAAAATAACATCTGGAGAAATATAAATAAAACTATGAATAGTGTCTCTCTGTTAGGTATAGATACATAATAAGAGTCTTAATGAACATGTACTGCTTTTATAAACTGACAATAATTTAAGAAAAAAGATATGAAGAAAAGATTAATGTTAGATGGTGATTTATGAATTTTTCCCTTCAGTTTTCCATATTTTCTCCTAATAGGCATTTACTTCTTTTATAAGAGGAGAAAAATTAAGTTCATATAGTTCTAAAAATTTCCACAAACTTTAAAGTACTTATACTCATTTATATTAAAATAAGAATGGGGTAGGGCTATGTGATAAGCTGTCATTCACTGGTCTCTCCTCTGAAATACATGTTAACCACACCCCACAATTGGACAGGTAACTTGATTTTTAAACTTCGGACAGTTAACACTAATCTAGTACTCTTAAATGATTACAATTTAGGTCAAATAAAGTGAGTATGGGACATATTCTTACCGAACCTTCTCCATGTTTGCTGTGTCTTCCTCACCTCCCTAACCTCTGAATACTGATTCAATCCTTGAACTTTTTTCCATCTACCCCCACTCAGTTGGTTCAATCTCATGGTTTTAAATACCATCTTTATGTTGATGACACCCAGGTTGTACCATCAAGCAGGACTACTCCCTTGAACTCCAAATGCCTATGCATTATTTTCACTAATAAGCATCATCACATAAGCACCTTTATTTTTAAGTTGTTTTTTTTTTTTTAAAAGATGACCGGTAAGGGGATCTTAACCCTTGACTCGGTGTTGTCAGCACCACGCTCACCCAGTGAGCAAACCGGCCATCCCTATATAGGATCTGAACCCGTGGCCTTGGTGTTGTCAGCACCGCACTCTCCCGAGTGAGCCACGGGGCCGGCCCCTTTATTTTTAAGTTTTATAAGCATCTCAAATATGTTCAAAATGAAATATCTGCTCTCGAACTTCTGTTCTCCTCCCAGTTCAGTAAGACAAGTTTATTTTAATCTCTTCTGTCCTTCCATTACACATCTTATCTGTCTATAAAATAACTGTTGTGATGCCTTTGAACCTCAGACCCCGTTCCCATAAAGGCCTAAAGCAAATTCCCGACCTCAGTATTTTATATAGTATATCTGGGTGAGATGTCATGTGTGTTACCAGTAATTTATGTGGTACAGCTTTCTAATAATAATTTTTAAGTGGATTCAAACCATCCTTCTACCAACCTCATTCTCACATACTTGCTGAATTTTTTTTTTTTTTGAGTGAAAGAAAAGTGATAGAACAATCATTGCACATTATCAATTTATGAACATATGAGATCATGTTCTAAATCTACTGGTATGTCACAGAGGGAAAAATTTTACACACCACTGCCTCAATGACAAACACTATCTACAACAAAGACCGACAGGTAAAAAAGACCCATGCCCTAGCAGCAACTGTCCACTTGTATACCCTAAAAGATCCCAGAGGTACTCGTGGGTATTAGCCCCTTACACAGCATTCTTAGAAGTATTTTAATAGTGAAGTCTTTGAAAATTATAGGTAGAGTTATCTTTCTGAAATTTCCTAAAGACAAAGTATACTGTGGCAAATCAAAAATTTAGCACACCATTTGTTAATCAACAATACCCTCATGCTTACATGATAATAATTGTACTGACCAATAATTGTCAAGTAGTGATGATATTTATGCCATGCTTCCCATATGTACAATGAGACTAGACTGTTTTCCTAACCATAGCCACCAGACCATGATTGCAAACTAGTTCAATTAACTACATCCTCTGAGTAGATGAGTAACTAAAACTACCCAGGTTATGCTTTTTACTAATAAAATGTCAATGTCTTTATGACACCAGAGACAAATGACTTCCTGCAGCTATCTGTTAGAAAGTTATAGAGCCTTTTAACACTGGAAAATAAATACAATATTCTTGAACATTTTCATTTTTAGATTTATTACATATTGAGTTAAAAAGTCAGAAATGGCTATATTCAAAAATTTCTTTGTGCCTTTAAACTATCGATATTTTCTCTAAACTGCTACTACTCAGAAATTGGCTATCAGTGAAACAACGTTCTCTCCATAAAACTTTTATGTATCTGTCAAGATCTTGCTCTCAACTCACCTAATATTAAAAAGATTATTTCAGCAAATATTAAACCACTATCAGCTAGTGATTTTCCTGTGACTATTCTAATTCTTAGAGATCCAATCAAACTTCACAGACTTTCTGAAAAACTTATCAACCATCAGATGATGAATATAAATTTCTTTTGAAGGTCAAAAGGGCATATGTTCTTAATTTCAGCCATAATCTTACCTTAAAAAACAAAGGTAGAAGCTGAAGTTGTTCTGTGACTGCTGTAGAGAAGGATCTTCCTGCACTTGCCATCAGCCATTTCAATACTATTTAGAAACGAACACACAGCATAAGTCTTTGTTACCCAGTTAGAGACCACAAAGTAGAATACGAGTAATGTTGTAAATACTGGTGTCAGACAGCTCTTCAGTGTGATAGTTCTTCAGTGTGATGATAGCTCTTCAGTGTGATGAAAGAGATCACCTATGTTACTTAATAAATTAGAAACTGATTGATCTGCCGTATATATAACAGGACCCATGATAAAGGGTGCTGAACAATCTATGGTACTGAAACCATTCCCCATGAATAAATTTGCAAATTATTAACCATCCACTGAATACCTACATCAGGTACAAATTAAAACTAACCTTCAATAATCCTAAGATAGCTAAAGTAATGATCAAGTGGGAAAGGCTGCAGTAATCAAGACTGTGATACTGGCATAAAAGAGAGGCATATAAACTTATGGAATAAAATAGAGAACACAGAGATAATCCCTTAGGATATGGCCAATTAATTTTTGACAGGAGTGACAAGACAATTCAATGGAGAAAGGACAGTCTTTTCAACAAATGGTACTGGGAAAACTGGATAGCCACACGCAAAAAAATGAAGGGTTAACTTAGTTGGTTAGAGCGCAGAAAAAAAAAATGAAGTTGAACCCTTACTGACACCTTACATAGAAACTAACTCAGAGTGGACTAAAGACCTAAACTAAGAGTTAAAACTACAAAAGTCTTTGAAGAAAACTTAAAGGAATAATTTCATGATATTGAATTTGGTCATCATTTCCAAGGCAACAAAAGAAAAAATAAATTGGACTTAATCAAAATTGAAAATTTTTGCACATCAAAGGTCAGTATCAAGAGAGTGAAAAACAACTTTGAGAATGGAGAAAACATCTGTAAATTGTATATCTGATAAGGGATTGATATACACAATATGTAAAGAATTACAACTAACAGTAACAGAACAACCTAATTTAAAAAATCGGCAAAGGAACTGAATAGACATTTCTCCAAAGATATACAAGTGGCTAATGAGCACACAAAACGATATTCAATAGCACTAATCATTAGGGAAAGGCAAATCAAAACCACAATATGGTACACCTCTTCATTAGGATGGCTATAATAAAAAAGTCACAAAACAGCAAGTGTTGGCAAAGATGTGGAGAAACTGGAACCCTTGTGCATTAGAATGTAAAACAGTTTGGCAGCTCCTCAAAAAATTAAATACAGAAATACAATGTGGGGGTGGGGGGTAAGTGAGAAATTGATAAAGGCCCACAAAAAATGATTGCATTGTGCAATGCTGAATATACTAATTATCCTGACTTAAGTATCACATACTGTACACAGGTACTGATATTCAACACAATACCCCACAGATATGTATAATCAATTATACTTCAATTAAAAAAAAAAGAAGAAGAAAGAAAGAAAGAAAGAAATACAATATAGTCCAGAAATTCTACTTTTAGATATATACCCAAAAGAATTGAAAGCAGGGACTAAAACAGATACTTATACATCAGTGCTCATAGCAGCACTATTCACAATAGCCAAAAGGTGGAAACAATCCTAATTTCCATCAACAGATGAATGAATAAACAAAGTGGTAGGAATCAATTTCTGATTCATGATACAACATGGATTAACCTTGAAAATACTATGCAAAGTGAAGGCAGACACAGAAGGACAAACATTGTATGATTCTACTTATATGAGTAATCTAGAATAGGCAAATTCGTAGAGACAGAAAGTAGAATAGCGGTTGCTAGGGGCTGGGAGAAGGGAAGAATGAAGAGTTATTGTTGAGTGGGTACAGTTTCAATTTTGCAAGACGAACAGCACTCTGGAGATGGATGGTGGTGATAGTTGCACAACAGTGTAAATGTACTTAATGCCATTGAACTGTATACTTAAAAATGGTTAAAATAGTAAATTTTATATTATGTATATTTTATCATAATAAAAAAGTGGGGGAAAAACTCACACAATAATCAAAATAAATGTGTTTTCAAGTGATTTTCTACTAATTTTAGCTACTCACTGGTTTTCAATAGTTTAATGCCTTGAGTTCGTTCATCTTCTTCACCAATTCCGTTTTCTTCCATAACATGGTTCTGAATTTCTTCATCCACATCCATGAGGGGTTTCAACTTCTCTAGGATTCGAGCAGTAAACTCAGGGACACAAGGGGATGTTGTAGGCGCAGTATTTGGCAAAGAAACATCTATCATAAATATGTAGGTCAGCACACTACAAAATAAAATATATAACAGTAAGAAGAGGTCCCACTTTATCAATAAAACTAAGGCTCAAAAGCCTGACCCAACCAAAGTAAATGTTCCTAAGATAATTCCTGGAGAGGGTCTCAGATTGTGCCCACGTGTAAAAGAAGGCAGGTAATTTTGAGGTATTAAAATTGGAGTGTGGTGACTGCTCATCTCTGGCTTCTGAGCACATTACCGTCCTAGTTTACATTCAATGTCTTGTCTTGTTTCCCACAATATTAAACATAATTTGAGGAAGAAGATACCATGAAACTCACTGCCAACATAACCACTATATCCTGTTAGATATTAAAACTTAATTTAAAAAACTCAAGAAGTATAGACCACACCACAGAGAAAAATAGTACCTACCTCCCTATTCTTTCCCTGACATTCTTGTAAACCTGGGTGAGTTTGGGTTCCAAGTACTTCAGTAGTCTGTGTAATAGCTCAGGCACTCTCCATTCTTGCTGGGCAAGGCCACCTTGTAGTACATAAAGTCGACTAAAATTAAAGCACAGGAGTGGAGTGTTAGAGGCCTTTCTACCTTTACATATTGACAGTATAGATAAGCAATGTCTGTTTCATTTAAAACGTTTTCATTTTCTCCCTAACAAATTACATTCAAAATTCAAAATAGAATCTTTATGAAGACTTTATTTTTCCTACACCATTTTCTCTATATTCACATTTCATCTTCACTACTATACCAGTGAAAGAAATACTGACTTGAAAACACTCACTGAGTTCATCTTTAGGCAACAGAATTCAAGTTTTCCCACTAATTAACAAGAATAGTTAACAAACTATTCTTATTTTTTGTTTTGGTGGCTGGCTGGTACAGGGATCTGAACCCTTGACCTTGATGTTATCAAAACCATGCTCTACCAGTATGCTTGTTTTTAATGGGATAATCCAGATTTCTTTCCACTGTCCACTAACTTTCTCCAGCTCCATATACCCCCACCAAGTGCAGTTTTCCTTAAAATTATTACTTTCTTTGTAACTTTCCTAATAGGAAAGAGTGAAAAAAAATATATGATAAAGAAACCATATTGCTTTTTGTACTACAATACTGTTGTGGCACAAAAAGCAATACCAATAAAAGATCTGACATCTAATTTATGTTTGAATTGCTCAGGTTGCCTACATTTTCCCTACTTGTTCACAACTGAGAAATAACTCTTAAGTATCAAATGTTGTGCTATCTGGATCACATCATCTTCCAGAAGCAAGTAATTACTTCATCTAGGCTTTAGGAGTATAGACAATTCATTTCCATTTATATTTCAGTTCATACAAAATCTTTTATGTTAACCTCATAGGTTTTCTTTATATTTACCATGCATCTACAAAGGATCCTCCTTCACCACTTAATGGTGATTCCAACAGCAGCTCAAAAAGCCAATGAAGTTTCCGGGGATCTCGGCTTTCCTATGTTGAAAAGATAAAATAATAATTAAACAGGGGCCTGCAATTCTGTAAACAAATCATATCCAGAAATATTAAAAAATGCATGTAAGCATAAAGGAACAAAACCCAGGGGAAGCTGACAGGCAAGTCAAATCCACATATAATATCGTAGCTCATGTTAATAATGAGAAAAATGTTGTTAGCTAAATGACTTGTCTTTAAATCAAAGTATACAAGCTATGAACATATTTGGTATCAAAAAATAATACTTATAACCTTGTATTATGTGGCCTTTACTATATGTAAGTTACATTTCCAAATACACAATTTGTCTTGTCACTTAATTTAAAAAAATGCATTATCACAGCATAGAAGATATAATCACTTAGAGTTATTATCGCTCAAGGCTTTTCTGAAAAGCTGAATAGAACTGTATCCAATTATGTAACAAAAAAAAAGCATGAATGAAATTTCAACATTCAAGAGGTATAATGAGATTTCATGTATTTTGAGACAGGGTATGAAACAGTTTAAATAGAAGGAAGCAAGAGAACTTACACAGGAAGTTGCTATACAAGTTCCCCAGTCATTATAAGTTTCTACCGTGATGTTGGACAATGCTGTCCTAAGCAGAGGGCATAGAAGCTCCCAAAGCTTTTCCACCTGCTCAAAATAAAATACATGGGTAAAAGTTAATGACACTCAAAACATTTTTTTTCAAATATCTCTTTTCCTGAAAATGCACATGTGCACAAACTAATAAATCATTTAAATTGTTTTTTAGAGCACCCAAATAATCAAGAACGTACCTCACCATATTGCCATCACACATATCCAGGTATAGGTAGATTTTTTTTCCCCAAAAAATTATCCAGAAAAGAGGAGACACTTTATATGATTCCTTATGAAATCCTCTCATACTACTGAGTTCTTTTTTGGCAGCTGGTTGGTATGGGTTTCTGAACCCTTGACCCTGGTGTTATAACATGGAGCAATAAACAACTGAGCTAACTGGCCAGCCCTACTGAGAAGTTCTCTTTCGAAAATTTTGAATAACATAGTACACTGGGCTGAAACAAAACTAATCAATTTTAAGTTTTTCATGCTCATCAAAGTCACTTGATTGAATTTAAAATAGAAGGTAATGACATTTTAATATAATTTAGTAATTACCATGAGGTACAGTCTCCAAATTTTGAGACTTGGGTTACTATAAATAGCCTTTGAAAAATGTTTAGTTGTACAGAGACAGAACATATGAGTATAGATGCTTCTCACAGATTAGTGAACATATAAATTGTTGGGCCACATTCCGGTGCAAGCACATCATAAGGCGTCTGCCTGTGTGTAGTTCCT